TCTGGTGGGTTCCAGGACCAGCTGCTCCAAGACCAGTCATTTAAGGTGTCAAGAAACTTTATCTCTGCATCCCGTCCTGAGGTGATATGTACCCAGTCAGTATGGGGATAGTTAAAATCCCCCATTATAATTCAGTTTTTTATTTTTATAGCCTCTCTAATCTCCCTGAGCATTTCACAGTCACTATCATCATCCTGGCCAGGTGGTTGGTTATATATCCCTCCTGCTATATTCTTATTATCCAAGCATGGAATTACAATCCATGGAGATTCTGCGGGACAGTTTGGTTCATTTAAGATTTTTACTTCATTTGACTCTACGCTTATTTTCACATATATTACCCCTCCCCCACCAGCACCATCTGCTCCAAACGAGCCGAGGGGTTAACAGATCCGATTTCCTCCTGGACACTCAGCAATTGCACAATCTCAGACTCTGGGCAGTGGTACTGGGGGGGGACAAATTGGGGACGGGTCAAAGGGACAGTGCTTTCCCCAAGCTTCACCCATAAAATAAGCTCCGCCCACCCCAGATGTGGCTCCCGTTGTGCAGGTATTCACAGTACTGGAGAGTCACTCGCTTTGCAGCCTGCATTGGCTGAGTCCATTGCACGGCCCGGGGCTCCTTGCAGCCCCCCATTATCCTCACAAACTCCTTGTGTGTCCCTCCCACCCCGCTGAATTTCAGGGATGCCATGTAGCCCCCCCCCACCTCATGCCAGGGGCTCTATGTGCCCCCCATTCCCTATTCCCCCCCATACCAGGGTCCCTGATTCACTCCAATGCCAGGGGCTCTGTCTTCCCCCCCCCATTTCCCCTCCCGCGTACCAGGGTCTCCCCCTTCTCCCCCCATGCCAGGGGCGCTGTGTGTCGCCCATTCCCCCCCCCCTCCACCATCATCCTTGTTTCTATCTGGGAGATCAGCCACTCAGGGTGTAACATGTTACGCTCCATGGGGACGCTGGGCTGGAGGCCGGGGTTGATGGGCTGGAAGGTGTCAATGGCACCACCAACTGGCTCGTTGACATACACAGTCACAGAGATGGTTGAAAGTGTGGCTGGACTGGCCAGACGCCAATGGCTCTGTGTGTCCCCAATTTCCCTCTTTCCGTTTTCTGATTTCCCCCCAAAGTCAATGTGGTTCTGCCCAGTGATGTCTAGAACATCCCCATAAATTCTGGAGTTAATGGAACGCAGCGTTCAAACGTTATTGGGTTGCATAGAAATAGGGAAAGGCCACTGATGTGAGTGCAGCCAGGCTCTCTGGGCTGCCAGCCGGCCAGCAGAGGGGTCTGTCAAAAAGATTTGGGGTGCAGAAGCCAGCTGTCTTGGCCCCTAGGCTCATGGGGATTGCTCCCCGTTGGGGAGGCTCTGTGATGACTGGTCCCCGAGATTTACAACCCGGTTACACGGCCCTTAGTCTTTGGGATGTAAAGGTGGCTTAAGGTAAAGCCAACTTTGCACACATCTCTCTGGATCAGCCCAGCCGTTCCCAATATGTGGGGAATGGGAAGGATGGAAATTGCCAGGCAAAAACAGAACAAAAGGACGTTCACTGTCCCGTGTTCCCCAAATTACCATTGATACAAGTGGCATTAACCACAGCACATGGACATGCTGGGGACCTCTTGGGGACATGTAAGTGAACAATCTCTGCCCTTCAGTCCTTATGTACAGCGCCCTGCACACAAGCTGTGTAAGTGCAGCAGCTTCACAACTTTTCTTTTAGAGACTCTAAGATTTTCAGGCTCTGATGCTGATCTAGTCTGAGCTCCTGCATCGTCCAAGCCAGAGAACCTGGCCCAGCCATTCTGCCATCCAGCCCATATCTGATGGTTGAGCTACAGCCAATATTTTAGAAGGGCGTCCAATCTCCATAGACAGTGTCCAAGGGGTGGAGAAGCTGCCCTGCCTCTTGAGAAGCTGCTGACAGAATTAATTCCACCTTCAATTGGTCTAAATTCAACTCCCAGCCATGAGATCTCATTCTGTCTCTGTTTGCTCAGTTGGAGAGCCTGGTGCGATCAGAAATTTTAGGTCTTATTCCAGGTTATCCTCAATCCCCTATAGTGTAATTTACTCCTATATTTAGTCCCTTTTATTTTGCAAAAGCAGTGCCGAGGGGCTTTAATAGACGTAAGAATTCAGGGCAGTATCCAGTAATGGTGTCCTTCAGGCCTGGTCTACACTATACAGTTAAGTTGATATAACTGCAGCGCTTGGGAAGAAGGGGAACCACACCGTGAGTGCCGCATCTAGGCCAACCCAACCCCTGGAGTAGACGCAGCTGGGCTGACGGGTGAATGCTTCCCTCGGCCTGGCTACTGGCTCAGGGAGGTGAGTTCCTAGAATGATGGAAAAGCCCCATCCATTGGGACAGGCGACGGCTTCACTCCGGGGCTCTGCCGGCCCAGCTCCAGCACTGTGGCTAAGCGGCTACAGTAGTTGTAGTGTAGACTGTGCCTTACACAATACACAGAACTAATCCCCCCTCCCTGCACATGCTGGATGTTCCCCTGACTGGGGATCCGTGGGGTATAAAGGGTCCAAGTCCAGGACGGTTTAAATGGCCACAGCAGCGGATGACTCACCTTGTGCACTCGTTGTAGCTAGGAGAGCAGGGAGAAGGCAGAGGATGAAGGAAACCATCCTGGTGCTGGGAGGCGCACGGGGCTGGGCTCGGAGCTGAACAGAGCTTCTCACGGCTGACACAGCGACCTCTGTCGGGGGGAAGGAGGAGAGAGTCAAGACCGAAATGAGGAAGGAAAGGGAATTATAGCCAAGATTTGGGGCAGGGTGGAGCACCAGGCAACAGAGCTGCACAAATAACAGATCTTTGGTTCACTGGCAGTTCTAAAAGATCGGGGGGGCGGGGGGGAATTGTTTTGAGTTGGCCCAATTTCTTGTCCAACTGAAAAGCCGAACAAAAATGGTTTTGGTTCATTTTCAAGCATTTGGGAAGATTTTAACATTGGCTTAAATAGAAATGTTGCCAACATTTTTTAAATGAAAAGACATTTTGAGTTGAAAAAAAAATCAGCACGTCTAATTCTGGAAATACCCAGACCAAACGTTTCCGTTTTGTCAAGATTTTTTTTTCTAGGATATTTTTTTCAGCTGAAACAGGCCGGCGAAATTGACACAAATTTGCAAAATGTTTCAGTCTCCCTGAACCTGCATTTTTCACTGGAGAAACATTTTGGTCGAAAAATTTCTCCCAATGCTCTCACGCCACAGACATGCCCAGAGATAACAGAGTGGGAGTTCTGGGGCAGACCCCTGCATGGCGCTATTTTTTAAATCCCACTCCCACCCGCTCCTGAACTGTTCCTTGCATTTTTATTTCGCTCCCATCCGCAAAGACCTTAGATCCCGCAAATCCCACAAGAGAGACAGAGTCCCTCGGGCTACTTTTAAACAAAACAGTCTGGTTAATATATTATACATATAAACGGAAGATAGACATAATTTTTACCATTAAAAGCATGAAACAAATCTTACTTAAACCATGTAAAACGTCGTTTAACTGCAGTTATAACAGACACCGAATCTCTTTCTATCCTCTGGTTAAATTTAAGGGTAAAAACCAACTTGCTTTATATTGCTGAAACTCTATTGATGACAAGCTGCTGCCCTGTGTTTTCCCGCATATTACCACACTCTGCTTTCTTTGCCCACCCAATCCTGCCCGCAACAAAGTACTTTTACCCACTCTTTTACCCATACTTTTATTATGGCAGGAGGTCCTGCGGGTCCCGTGGGATCCCAGTCCCGCTGCAGGGCTCTAGGCTGGCCCAGGTTTCCACTCTCTCGTCCGTATTGGCTCCAGGTCTGCACCGTCCCTTCTGACATGGGGCGACCGACGCTGCCTGTGGGGCACCAGGGTCAGAGCATCCTGCTGATCTGCAGAGGGGCACTACAGTGTTTTCCACATTATCTCCATCCCTTGGGCAGCCCAACGGCTTGTTCGCTTCTCTCTTCTGCAGCTGCACAGCGAGCTGAGGTGTCCATTGATCTTCCTACGGGGACGCTCTGGTCCCTTCCCTGGATCAGCCCAGTTCAGTTAGAGCCTGTCAGGTCTAGGCATGCTACAAACCCCCGACCTCCCCATGTGCGTTACTTTGCATTGATCAAAACAACTTCATCTGCCATCGCGTTGCCCATCGACCCAGCTCCGTTCGATCTCGCTGAAGTTCCCGATTAACCTCAGTAAGTTGAATCCTCTGCAGATTTCACCACCTCCTCGCTCACCCCCCTTGCAGATCATTTGAGTACCTTGAACGCTGGGTCGAGGATAGAGCTTGGAGGCCTCCGCTTTTAAGCTTTTGCCATCACACAAAATTCCCATGAATTCCCACTCTGTTTTCTATAGACACAAGGTGGGGGAAGAGACGAGCTTCCGAGCGACACAGAGCTCTTCTGCGGGTCAGCGGAGCTCGAGAGCTTGTGTCTCTCCCCAGCAGAAGCTGGTCCAATAAAAGCTATTCCCTCACCCACCTTGTCTCTCTGATATCCTGGGACCCACACGGCTACAACAACGCTGCAAACTCCTGTTCTCTGGCTATTGTCCAGGTTCTGCTCCATGACAGTCCATTGCCTCCCGCCCCAGGACTGCTTCGATTCCGTACTGTCCTACGGTGAGGGAGTTTGCTGAAGGCTTTTGGAAAGTCCAAATCAAGTATGTCGACTGGTTCCTCTCTGCTCCCTAAACCTGGGATGTTCAAAGCAGCTGAAGAGAGTCCGAGGCCCGACTCCCATGGAGTTTCAGCAGATGCTGGCCCCCGCGCTGCTGGTTTTGCCTTTGAAAATCTCCCTATTTCGTTCACACACCATTCCATGAGTGGGGCTTCTTTTCCTTTGCACAAACTGAGCTGCTTTATCCCTGCTCTATCATCATCGTGGGGTTTCACCATTCACAATATAGCTCCAGCCTTTACGCATTTTGCAGCAGATCATGGAAGATTGCAAAGGATAATATAACAAGGCATTAAAAACTCTTACCTTCAGCCACACAATGGTTCCGTTCACCTCCAAGTTCTCTGTAAATTGAAGAGATGCACTAACCTGTCTAGCACAGCCCCTTTCCTCTGTATATAGGCCAAAGATAGAATTGGAATCATATATATATTGGGAGTAATGATTGACTGAAATGTAACATGTTATACGATCCTCACGCCTGGCCACTCCCTCTTTAAGTACAATTCAGACCGACTCTTTCTCAACCCATCAGCTTGTGTTTTATAAAATTTGTCTCATAAAGTCTGCTGGTTCGTGCAACAGAGATAAGAGGTGATATTCAGCTCAGTCGCCAGGGTAGAGGTGTGGCTGTTTGCACATTAGAGGTGTTTAACCAGATCATGGGATGGGGTAGATCATAGAGCGACGGCAAATTCACAGCAAATGAGGATCAGGCCCCACTGACTTCAATGGGGCTAGGGCCAATTGACACCGGTCCGGGATCTGGTTCCATTAACTCTAATGGAGCGACGGCCGATTGACACCAAATGGGGGGTCCAGTGAAACTTCCAAGGTAACTAAGGTTGGCTATGGAGTTGGCCCCATTACAACAGCTCCCCTCCCACTCCCAGTACAGGTTGCTAAAGTACTTCTCATTAAATTGTGTAAATATTCATTGGTGACACATTTTCTTCCCCACCCCATGTCAAGGGCATTGCGGCAAACTGGGTCTCACGCACATGACATTGCACCCGGCTGGGGGAATTTAGTTATAGAATAACTGAGTGGAGAAGAGCATTTCAGCCTTGGTTTTATTTCAGGTCAGTTTTGCTCCCGGAGGTTGTCAAGATTGGTAAGGGGCTTCCAGAGAGAAGCCAGGTGTTAGGATCGCAAGGAGTCTAAAGAGAGAGAGTGGTCGGAGATCGACTGATGAACAGTGCAATGGAAAACCTGGGGATTAGTTATATTAATGCAAGGCTCAGATTCAACTGGTAGGTGGTGGTTTTGTATCAGTCCCTCACTGAGTTTGCAGCCTTGTTCTCTAGAATCTCGGCACTCATTGAAAACACAAGAGTAAGGGGAATGGAAAAGTCCCGCACAAACCTTTTTCAAAAGCTCTTTCGCTTTTAGATAGTCTTTTCTAAAAGGGGCAACATCTGGTTTTATTTTAAAACTGTCTCCATAAACCGTTTTCCATATCTTCAGAGAATGTGAGGGGTTGATATCAGCGGGTCTGGTACGTACAGTTCTGTGAAAAGCCCAGTTGTCACTCTTTATAACACGTCGAGGTAGCCAACGGGGTTGTGGGATGCAAAATGTCTCCACATCCAAGTTTGTAAAGTTCTGTTAAATCGCTCCACAACCCCCACATCATGCCACTTTCGCATACTGCTTAAAGTTTTGTTTAAAAATTCTTTTCTCTGATCTGTCTGTAATTTATGAGGCAGGCAACTTTAACTGAAAACAGCTTTAAAGGCCATGGTACTTCACTGCCCATTTTATCTTTGAGTCCTAAGGCCCAGGCTTATTTAGAGAGACTGTCTATTGCTGTTAAGATATACTTGCAATCACTGTCAAACTCCAGAGATCGGGTGGGGTGGGGGGGTTCCAGCCTAGACCCTCGCATTACACTTCTCCTGATTAGTACATGTTTCCCTTCTGGGATGCTCTAAGGGGGGCTGAAACCCCCTTGGTCGAGGGTGGTGGGAGGAGTTCTTAGAGGAGTCACACAGCCCTCTTTTTGGGTGGGTCACTCCACCCCAGAACCTGCCCTGATTGGTCAAATCTGCTCTCAGGGAGGTCCTATGTGGTTGAAACCCTCCCCAATTGGTGCAGGGTGGAGGGAGGAGTTCTTAGAGGGGTCACATGCCCCCCCTTCCTTCTGGTCATGTGTCCATCTTGACCCCAGAAGTAGTACCCCAGGGGGTTAGTCTTACGGTGACAAGTGGGTGGAGCCTGAGGGTGAAAGAGGTGGGTTCCATATTTGATTGATGTTGTCACCCTTGCACTACTTATCTATCCCCATACACCTCCACTGTCTATCTCGAAAGATCTTCAGAGCAGGACTGTGTCAACATGTCTGGGCAGCACTTGGAACAATGCGTCCCAGATCTCTAGGTACTACCCTAGTACATTTATTTCTCTCTTACATGCCAAGGGACCTCAGATCCCTCCAGGCTAGGATAGCACTGAAATGCAGCCACCTCTGGGGTGGGGGTGAACCCCAGCCTGGAGAATGTCTAATGACAGCAGCGTTTAGGAAATGTGCCTTGGGAGATTAAATATCCACAGAGAGGAGCCCAGTCGCCTTAACAGAGACAAGGGTCGAAATCAACAACTTCACTGCGACTCCCATTCATCCTCTGCCTCTGGCAGCCCAGGTAGACTGCTGCCCAAGGATTCTTCTCCAAGGGTTCCCTCCACCTTCCCAGCGGCTGCCCCCCTGCTCTGGCCCTGCAACTTTTCTCTCCCCAGCTGTGGGAGGGCCACTAGTCTGCCCCTGTTAACCATTTAGGATGTGGCCACCCTGCAGCTGGGAGGGGTCCAGCCCATCTCAGGGAGAGGGACCCAGGCTAGCCTGACTTCAGTACCGGGCAAACTGGTTGAAACTATAATAATGAACAGAATGGTCAGACACAGAGATGAACATCATTTGCTGGGAAAGAGTCAACATGGTTTTTGTAAAGGAAAATCACGCCTCACCAATCTACTAGAATTCTTTGAGGGGGGTCAACAAGCACGTGGACATGGGGGATCCAGTGGATCTAGTGTACTTAGATTTTCAAAAAGCCTTTGACAAGGTCCCTCACCAAAGGTTCTTCAGCAAAGTGAGCTGTCATGGGATAAAAGAAAAGGTCCTCTCATGGGTCAGTAACTTGTTAAAAAATAGGAAGCAAAGGGTAGGAATAAATGGTCAATTTTCAGAATGGAGAGAGGTAAATAGTGGTGTCCCCCAGGGGTCTGTACTGGGCCCAGTGCTGTTCAACATATTCATAAATCATCTGGAAAAAGGGGTAAACAGTGAGGTGGCAAAATTTGCAGATGATACAAAACTACTCAAGAGAGTTAAGTCCAAAGCTAACTGCGAAGTGTTACAAAGGGATCTCACAAAACTGGGTAACTGGGTAACAAAATGGCAGATGAAATTCAATGTTGATAAATACAAAGTAATGCACATTGGAAACCATAATCCCAACTATACATACAAAATGATGGGGCCTAAATTACCTGTTATCACTCAAAAATGAGATTTTGGAGTCATTGTGGATAGTTCTCTGAAAACATCCACTCAACGTGCAGTGGCAGTCAAAAAAGTGAACAGAATGTTGGGAATCATCAGGAAAGGGATAGATAATAAGACAGAAAATATCATGTTACCCCATATAAATCTATGATATGCCCACATCTTGAATACTGTGTGCAGATGTGGTCGCCCCATCTCAAAAAAGATGTATTGGAATTGGAAAAGGTACAGAGAAGAGCAACAAAAATGATGAGGGGGATGGAACGGCTTCCGTATGAGGCGAGATTAATAAGATTGGGACTTTTCAGCTTGGAAAAGAGAAGGCTAAGAGGAGGTATGATAGAGGTCTATAAAATGTTGAAGGGTGTGGAGAAAGTGAATAAGGAGGTGTTGTTTACTCCTTCCCATAACACAAGAACTGGGGGTCACCAAATGAAATTAATAAGCAGCCGGTTTAAAACAAACAATAGAAGTATTTCTTCACACAACACATGGTCAACCTGTGGAACTCTTTGCCAGAGGATGTTGTGAAGGCCAAGACTATAATAGGGTTCAAACAAGAACTAGATACGTTCATGGAGGACAGGTCCATCAATGGCTATTAGCCAGGATGGGCAGGGATGGTGTCCTTAGCCTCTGTTTGCCAGAAGCTGGGAATGGGCGACAGGGGATGGATCACTTGATGATTCCCTGTTCTGTTCATTCCCTCTGGGGCACCTGGCATTGGCCACTGTCAGAAGACAGGATACTGGGCTAGATGGACCTTTGGTCTGACCCAGTATGGCCATTCCTATGTTCTTATGCTTGAGTGTGGATAGCAGTGTGGCCA